TGCTGAGGGTCAGGGAGTGAAAGCTTCCATTATAACTTGTCTGTTTGTCCTGGATTACACCGTGGTAATTCCCGTGTGTATCTGAATTGCTGTCAGCTGCTGGGGTTTTAATAAACTCTCCAAATGAGCTTTAACTCTGCAATTAGGAGAAGTTAGGATTTGTTGGAAACCTGTTGAAACACCATTGTCTGTCCCTAGGGAGAAGTTCAATCTTACAGTTCTGTAGTTACGTCTGGATGCACTACTCTCCAGCACAGTCTTTGGGGAAATAAAGAAAGGTTGGGGTTTTTTTACTGTGCTTTTTTTTTGGTGCCTTAATGTGAAATGCTCACAACATTGTAAACTAGGAAGTAAAAACAAAATAAACTGGAATAAAATGCAGGATTGTAAAATTGTATCTTATAACTTATTAAATAGAAATGTTTGCTTCATTAAAATGTGCATGTTGAAAACAACATTTGGTTCCATTTCATATGTAGTCAGTAAAGTTCAAACTAAAAATACAGCAAGCAGCAGCTTCAGGCAGACCAAATACTTGTGTGGGTAGCTGTGAAAAATTTGGGAATAACCTCACTGCCATTTGTCTTTTTTTTTTCTCTCAAACTTTTTTCTCTAGAACAAAATGTCTGGCAAATGTTGAAGCCACGTCATAACTGCACTAGGCAGCAGGTGAAGCGTGGTGGGGGTACAACGCGGCCCTGCTGCTGCCCCCTGTGTAGACCCCAGGTCCTGGGGCAGCAGAACTGGGGGTTGGTGTGTCCCTGGGGGTGACAGAGGTTATAGATCTGATCCTGGGGTGCTGCCCGTGGCACCCGCCAGCTCCTCTGGGCTCCCAGGGGTTGTTTGCAGAAGGTGGTTCCCAGCAGGATGCTGCACCTGGGGCAGGCTGGCTCCAGTGCTCAGCCATGGAAACCAGCAGATGTTTTCCCAAACACAGCTCCCACTGGAAGCCCCGATGAAACCTAAGACGCAGTGGCTGCCAAGGACTCTCCTGCCCCAGGTTTATCAGATTATTTCCTTTTTATAGTAAACTGTGTTTCATTAGCTTTGTGCTATGTCAGCCTGAACCTCCTATTTAATGTTTTTAAACAAAGCAATCAAAACCTGGATACAGCTGTTGGGTTGAGTCAACCTTGAGAGCATACCTTGTGCCTGTGTAACTCCTATTTCCCAGAACCCTGCTCTTGTCTGGATTTCTCTTGCCTGGGACAGCTTGGGGTCTTGGTCTAATTGCACTAGCCAAAATTAATGGGAATTGTCTGTGAAGCTGATGAACCCTGATTGTTAATTTAGCTGAGGTTACCTCCGTTGCTTCAAGTGAGCAATTCTGCCTTGCCTGGGCACTGACAGCTGTGTGGTGGCCACAGAAATTAACTCACTGAGGACAGCAAGCACCCAGTGGTGTTGATAAGAAGAGCTTTTGGTGCAACTTGGCTGCCTTGATCTTCTTTAGCAACAACATTCAGCCAATTCCACCAGCTCTGGCAGCAGAGGCATGGCTTTTTGTTGGACACAAGGGCTGCTTTGGGAGCACTGTGCTGTGCTTGTGGTGTTTGGCATCTTAGTAAAGGTTTCCATTTGGTGTGCCCACTTTGGCAGGCAGCTGTGGGGCTGGGTTCTAGGTGTACTGGTGTCCCAGTGCCTCTTGCTGGGTAGACTGGGTAGGCCCCTCAGTTCAAGAAGGACAGGGAACTGCTTGAAGGAGTCCAGCGCAGAGCTACAAAGATGATTAAGGGAGTGGAACATCTCCCTTATCAGGAAAGGCTGAGGGAGCTGGGTCTCTTTAGCTTGGAGAAAAGGAGACTGAGGGGTGACCTCATCAATGTTTACAAATATGTAAGAGGTGAGTGTCAGGGAGATGGAGTTAGGCTTTCCTCAGTGATGACCAGTGACAGGACAAGGGGTAATGGGTGTAAATTGGAGCATAGGAGGTTCAAAGTGAATATCCGGAAAAATTTTTTTACTGTAAGAGTGACAGAGCACTGGAACAGGCTGCCCAGGGAGGTTGTGGAGTCTCCTTCACTGGAGACATTCAAAACCCACCTGGATGCGTTCCTGTGTGATGTACTCTAGGTGACCCTGCTCTGGCAGAGGGGTTGGACTAGATGATCTTTCGAGGTCCCTTCCAACCCCTAGGATTCTATGATTCTATGTCTTGCATTCATTATTTACAGAGGACCAACAAGGGGGTTTGCCTCTAGCAGTGGGAGTGGTTTTTTTCTGCCAGTTTGGTTGAGCTTAAGTTCCTTTTTTAGAATCTCAGGCCCAGCTCTGTCAGTGGTGAAGGTCCTGATTTGCTGTGGGTGTCCTTCACGCTGGGCACAAAGCTGCCTTCTGTAAAGCTCCAGTGCCTGCCTGTGCATCATTCTGGGGGGAAAACTGGGCATGGGCACTTCCAGCCCCTGGCTGGTCCCAGGCTGCAGCACACACTTTAACTCTCTCATTTGCCCTGATGGTGTGAGGGTCCATTTGTCAAAGCAGCTACAACCTTTCTGAAATCAGGCATTAAAGTGCAGCTGCTTCCAAACGGCATGAGGAGAAGGTGATCCAACCAGGCCCCACCAGCTGCTCAACTTCTTCAGCCTTTGCATGATCTTGTGCCATTTCTCACCCGGTATATCCTCTTCTTGCAATCTAAGAAACCTTGGAAGGTATTGTCTCTGGTGTGGCACCAGGTGCCTTCCTTTATTAATGGGCTGAATCATGTCCCCATGATACATGTGCTGGTGACTGGTGGTGGCTGGTGAGTGGCAGGGCTGAGCTCAGGGTGCACTGGGGAGGTTCAGAGCTGGCAGAAGGTACCACTTTGCCCTTCCTAGCACCAGTGTGAGTATTTTTAACAGATTAAATAGATGTATATTTAAATAATTTTAAATTGCTAAAACTTAAAATTATTTCAAAATAATTATTGGATTATTTTACATATATAGTAATTCAGCATATTTAGTTTTTCTGACCATGTTACTGCAGCAGTAACTCTCCAGTCTGTGCCAGGCATGGGACTGCACAGGGTGCTTTGTGTGTCCACAGTGGATCTCTCTTCACCCACCAAACAGCATAGAGCTGCTCTGAGGTTCATTGGGTGTATTAGCAATGTGGGTGGTGGGGCTGTTCCTCAGCAGGACTCTGGTTTTGATCAGATTATGCAAACCCTGCAATTAGTTTTCCCTCTAATAGTCTGTGGAAAGTGAGATTGTGAAGTTTCCAACGCAGAACCCGCTTTTTTCTCTACTCAGTTTTAACTGCTAAATGGATTTGATTTAAACTGTTCTGATTTTATTTTCAATTATTTTGGCCAACGATGAAATGTGCTTCCAGTGCAGACAATATGCCCTTCTTACTTTAAAGAAAAAAAAGGAAGCAAACTATGTATTAATCACATTTAAAAGCCTGGCCAAAGTGGCAACGTATAAACAGGCATCACTTGACAGAAGCTGGGATGGAGTTGCATGGAACTGTTAATTCAGGAAATGGAATGATGCTTTTCTACACAGTGTTTTTTATTTGTTTGAAGACAGACTCCTTCCAAGGCATTTGTTATCATGACAGCTGGCTGTGCTGCTCTCTCCCGTGGGCTGAATGAAACTGGTTGCCCTGTTTGGCCTTTGCCAAGTCAAGGACAGCTCTGGACCTGCTGGCACACAGGGGCTGGGGTCTTGCAGAGCTGCTGTCAGCATCCCCAGGTCTGTATGCTGTACTCTGTGCCAGCTGGCTTGGAGGATCTTATTTTTAATATTTTTATTCTTCTTACTTTTCACATCTCCTGTCCATATCCAGAATAGCAGAAAGCAATGCCTGAAGTTCAGCCACTAGCAGTGTGGGACCTACCACTGGAGCATCCAGCCCCATCGTGTTGCTGCAGCCCTGGATCAAACCCACCTGGTACCCTCACCTTTACAAGCTCACCAACTTCTGTAAGCAAATGTTAATTTAAAACACATTTTTTCCCTGTGTTACAATAATTATTCCCATCCCACTGCAAGGTGCCACATCTTCACAGCTCCACATGAGCTGGAAAGGAAAAGCAGGACGGGCTACGGGTTTTTTTTCTTCTCTGCAGCCTGCAGCAGTTATTAATATTCAACAAGTTCCTCTCAGAAGGTTATCAAAACAGCCCCAGTGCCAGCTCTCCCTCTTGTACTGGGCTGTTTTACCAGAGCCTCCTGGGAAAATGCTTTAAAATGGCTTTTCAGAATTTCTCAGACTTTCAGAGTTAATTTTCATAATTGCAAATTTATATTGACACTTAGAAAAAACATTGTCACTAACTCAGGTTGGATTTATGTCTCATGTTGCTATTAATCTTGCCAGGATTTAAAGTGTGTTCTTTGTATAACATGAATGAAAGGCTAATATATTTGACATAAGAATATAGGCAAAATATGATTTAGCAGGACCTAGAGGTACGTTTGACAGCTCTTTCCTGTAATGAACTGCCTTTCTGTAGGACCTTGGTACTGAAAATATTTACATCCATGCTTAGCTGGAAGCCTGTGAATCTTTCAAGCCCCATGGAGGAACTGGCTTTGCTGGAAGGGTGTTTCTTTCTGACAGTAATTGCCTGCTTGGAGTATTTTTTTTTTTTGAGGAGGAGGAGATGGGACTATGCATTTGGCTTCCCTGAAAATGTCTGGGGTCAGGCCCCTCTCCCAACAGAAAGCAGCCCCATCTCCAATGCCAGCATTTGCAGAGCTTTTCAGGGAAGCTTTCTGGTTCCTTTGCCAATATGGAAATTAATTCCTGCAAATCTGTCTCCCAACGAACAGAAAACACCCTGCAAACACTGGCAGCTGAGGCACTATATTTAAAATGAAGTATTTAATGTTGTTATTCACACCAACTAGAAAACCAGGCTTCACAGAGACGGTGTTCATGGTTTTGTACTGGGTGATAGAGAGGTTGTGTTGCTTAACCCTCAGGACAGTGGAGAGAAACGTGGGCTAAACCTGCCCCTGGGTGTTGCAGAAAGAGCCCCTGGTCCAGATCACAGTTTCCTCAGGAAGGGGGTTGGTGGGCACAGCAGAGAGGGGACAGAGACACTCATCCTGGCATGGGCTCGTGCCCAAAACGAGGTACAAACCACCAAAGGGCAAAAGTGGAGACGCTGAAAAGCATCCTGAGGGGCTGGGCAGGCTGGAAAGGCTGTGATCGCTGCTGGGCTAAACCCTCCCCAGGAACTCCTGGTGCAGGTGTGGAGAGTGACACCAAGGTCCCACCTGGGTGGGAGCTGCTGCCTGCAAGCAGGGCAGTCTTGTGAAGGTCACTGCAGTGTGTTTCCTAGTTAAAAAAACGGTGGGCAATGAACAAACCAGCCTGGAGCAAAAAAATCCTGTGGTATGTATCTGTTGCACAGCTCACGGGCAGGCAGCGGGGGGGCAGCAGGAGGGGCTGTGCGGGGGCAGGTCCCAGCTGAGGCTGAAATGGAGCATCCTTGCCACGGCGGGGTTTGCGGGCTGTGCTGGTCGGGTCTAAACGCCGCGTCCCCCGGCGGGTGCGGGGCCAGCAGAGGGCACCCTGGGAGCACCTAAAGCTCGGGTGGGTGGGTTGTTTGCAGAGGGGAGAAACCTGCTTTATCCGTGGCACAGGGGCTGGGACAGGTTGTAGAAAAGCTTTTCTTAACCCGTAGGTGGAGGGGAAAAAAAACCGTGAACTTGCTTATTTCTTCTTTTTTGAATAAAGGCAGGGAGCAGATGTCTGTCCTTCCCTCCTGCTCCTCGTCTCCTTTGCTGGCTCAGCAGGGAAAAGCCTCACCAGAGACCACTGAGCACTGTGCTACAGGGGGGTTGAGGACAAATCAGGCTCCATTCCCGGTGCAGGGCAGCAGGGACCTCCCGTGGGGCTGGGGAGGGGGGTCTCTGTGGGGCGGTGGAGACCCCTGGTCTGTGGGAAGCCAGGATGCCTCCAGCATCCTGCTCTGGAGAAAGGCTTCCCAAAGGCTCAGATCTGAAGGATCGAGGGGCCTCAGCATTTTTTGCTCAGCTGGACCCTATCTGTTCTGTGTTCTCCTCTGGTCAGGGCTGCCGTGGAGGAAATAGTTTACAGCTTCTGAAGGGTCTCTTTGTTTCTTTCCCAGTCATGATCTGACACATGGCTTGCATGAGATGTCTCTCCAGACCATCTCAGATTCTCAGTGTAAAACTCCTGTTTATTCATAAATAAAGCTCAAGGAAGCTCATTAATCTAAAGAGAAATTTTGTTCTGGCTGCCTAATACATTGAGGCTTCTGCAGGCTGGAACAATTTAAAAACCCCTTTGCAGCTGGGACAACTAGGTAATGATCCCATGGTGGGGAAAACATAGAAATGATGTAAACTGTTAAACATTTTCAGATGCATTTACAATATTGTCTAATGACTGTATGGAATATACACAGGAATATCTATAGAGACTGACTGTGCTGACTGTACGAGCTTTGGACACCTCCCAGCCCCTGTCATACATTATGAACCAAGTGCAGATGCTCTCTGTCTGCTTTGGGTCCCACAAAAGTGCACCCCAGCTCTCCACAGAGAAGCATAATTTTGCATTAAGATGTCTCTCTGCTGGTCAAGTGCTCATTCTCTGCAATAGTCATTCCTGAGGCTGCAGCCACTGCTGCACCACTCTCTGACCACATCTCATCTTCAGATGCAGGGTAAAAAATTATTTTCATCGTCACAAATAAGGACAACATTTTTTTCAGTAACACTTCATTGTATTTAGATACCCATCATTGCTTTCCTGGTGTGTGATTTATTCCTTTGAGCATTGATTCTTTATTAAGGCCAAAATAGAGTAGGGGCTTATGTAGGACTAAGGTATGAGGCCAGAGACTTAGACTGATTTCAGCCCTCACACGGACCATCACTGTTGTCAGCCAGACAGTGCATTTCTGTAAAAACCCCCGTATAAATATTTGTTCTAAATCTGGCTCTTTTTCTCCTTGGCTGGAGTATAACTGTTGGGGCTTATGAAATGCTGTATCATTTCAAGATTAATTGCTATTGAAAATCTGGGGGTTTGTTGTTGTCTGCCCAGCATGCCCTCCCTTGGGATAATCTCCTCTCAGTTTAGGTTCTTTCTTCAAATTCTTTCTCCCCAGATGGTTTCACACAGACCAAACTGTTTTCCTCTCCTAAAAACATATCTTGTTTGCTAGCCTGCCCTGCCCCATCAGCAGACAAACCAGGGAGGGGCTTTGCTGAAGGGAGATGAATATTTGTCTCTACTAACAATTGGATTATTTCTACTTTTCAGATGCCATCTGTGTGATAGGGTTTGGTATGCACCAAGTACAGCCTGTGGGCTGAGCTGAGAAAACAGATTGCTGCACCACTACGTTAAATAATCATCAGTAAAGTCAAGTTCATTGGAGAACTTTAGGCTGCCATGGAGTTTTTTTTTGAAGGGAGAGATGCAGCTTGATTCCTGGGAATCACCAGGTGCTGACATATGTCACACCGGTCACGGCTCCGAAGTATCCACACACACACCCCCATGATGCAGAAAAGTCCTTTTAATCCCTGTGCCCCTGCAGAGGAATGGCAGAGCTCCACAGCCTGCACGGATGTGTGGAGATCCCTGCCCTGAAGCCCTTGGAGATAAAGCACACAGAAGTATTTTATCTTGCAGTAGCTCTTTATACTTGGGATCAGCACCTAAGCCCCGTGTGCTGCTTCCAGCTGACTTATTTTCATGTGCAATACAGAAAATAATCTGGAGGTTCAATTCATCTTCTCACCCAGAAGATCTGAAATTTAACAAGTTGGGTTTTTTCTCACAAAATATTGCACTTGCTGTGAGTATATCTACACTGGTCTTCTACAAGATCTGTTGGCATCTGTGTATTTCCAGAGCACGTGAGAGGACTCACGCCCTGGAGCGGCGGCCCTTCCTTGATCTCTTCTTCAAAAACTGTGATTTCAGCCAGTTGAAGAAGCCACCCCTTGTTTTTAACTCAAACTCTACAGGGAAATGGTCGCTGATCCCCAGCGCCTGCAAGACAATGGCACAGAGGGGTTGGAAGCTGCTGGAGCTCTTTCCAAACCCTGCCCCAGGGACGCAGCACGGGGAAGATGAGTGCAGGGGTGGATGTGGGGAGGTGCAATGCGAGGGTTGCGTCACCTGGGGAGGGTGCAGTGGTTTTATGGGCAAGACCATGTTAAAAAATGCCTGGGTGCTGTTGGCTTTGTCAGCCCACAACCCACTGCTGCAGAAGCCATGCTGTGCCTACCTGCTCCTCAGTCAGCTGAAAGTCCTTCTGGAAATCAAAGATATTGATAGAGTTTGGCACGATGGCGTTGATGAGCTTCTGCCCGCTGACCACAATCCTGCAAGGGGCAAGGGAACAGGGTGCTGTTCTGGGGTGCCCAACCACTGGCAGCCATGGTCCATGGAGCCAGTGGCCAGAGAACTGGATTTGACAGAGCCACAGCTACGTATGGTTTGTCCTTTCTCATGGGCTGCCTACTTAGAGCATCTGCTGAGCTTTGCTGACTGCTGTCTTTGGGAGTGAGACATCTAAATACCTGGGTACATGTTGGCCTTGTAAGCCAACACCAAGTGATTGGTACCTAAATCCCCCTCAACAGTGCTGCAAAGTTCAAGGTTGTAGTTTGGATACAAAAATCATAGGACACCAATTACTGGTTTGTCAGAGAAGTCCTGCTTTGACCCAGAAGCTCATTCTGCAATAAATTTAGCTCTTAACTTACTCTGGGCTTTGATAAACAGCTGTATTATTGTCCCTGCTGAGGGAGCTGCAGGTAGCAGCAGAACTTGCCGTGTGCCTGGGGGATGTGAAGTGTTCCACCTGCTGAGCAGGATGGGATTTTGCATTTGTCAATCTAAATTGTGAATGCAAGAGCAAAAAACATGGTGCAAAGCTGGCAGAAAGGAGGCAGCAGCACCTTCCGCCTGGGTGTCTGCAGATGAGTGCTGTGTAATTGCCTGCTGTTTATCTTCACCTAAGGCACAGCAACGACTAGTTCTTGCATGAAATCTTGCCCTTTCTGCAAAACTGCTTGCCAACAAGCCTGCCAAGTGCTTTGTTCTCCTGACTAGAATTATTCAGATCCCATTTTCTCCTGGACACAGATTTATCTTTGAAGGCCACTTGCACATTTCCTTTATCTGACAGTCATTGATACCTTTCCATATATATAGTTTTTTTTCTCAGAAAGCCAGCAACAGGGAACAGTTCAGCAGTGACCCCTTTACCTGTCATATGGGCAGCTTGTGCTTCCCTTCACTGTTGTGTCATTTTTATCACCAATCAGCCAAACAAATTCGGAGTGAGTCCTCAGCCGAATGTTCTTCCACTGCTTTTGGGGAACGTAGCTACAACCAGCATTGAAGTCCCCCATGAAGACGAAGTTCTGGAAGGCAGGAAGGTTTTCAAAAGTAACCATGAGGACAGCTCTTCAAAAGAAGACTGGCAAGGACTTTTAGGGTCAACAGATGCTCCCGATTGCCCATACCGCTCAAATAGAGAGTTCTCATTGAGAGCAGTGGGGCTTCTCCTCCCTGCTGGAGGCACCAGCAAGGCAGTTTTTTCGGGAGATCAAGTTTACTAATTAAAATGTGGAAAACTCGATTTAAATACACCAGAGTTACTCAAAATCAGGGGCTTATTAAGGTCTTAAGGTTACCAGGCTGTGAATAGCAAGTAGCATGGCAGGTGCCTCAGTACCAAAGCTGCTGTTATTTATGTAGATGCATCAACCAACCTCGGTTTTCCAGCGCTGTTTTACATCTAAATACACATCATAGAGCTCATCAATCTCCCGTACTGCTGTCTCTGGAGTGGTGTGCAGAGGGATTATAGCAAACTCTTTGACAGCTTAAAAACAAGGCAAAAAAACCAGGAAAAATGTAATGGTTAAACATGCACTGAATCACAAAGAAACAGAGATGGACTTGGAAGCAAGAAGGTTTTTCTTAACAGGAAACAGCTTCTGCTCTGGCTGTGGATCAGAGGTGTTTGCTGTTTAAATGCACAGTGCTCCCCATCAGCTGTCGAGTTGCAACATGGCAAAGCAAACCCTGCTCCAACATCCACGGTCACAGCTGTTCACAGGGCCATGCCAGCTGCATGGAGCACATCCACTAACCCACAGCCCATGGTGGTGGTGGAGACTTTTCCAGGGCTGTGCCGTGTAGCCAGCTGTGGGCACTGCTAGAGGCAGCAGCCCAGAGGCAAATGCTGCTCCTGCAAGGAAATGCAGCACAGGGGAAGGTTGTGGCCCCTTTCTCCTGACCCCACCACAGGCTTGGGTCCAGCTGGCACTGCCATGCCCTGTGAAATTTTCCAATGGGAGAAAGGTTTGTTTCTGAAACATCTCACCAGTTTTTGAAGGCTGGAACCAGACAGCAAAAGGGTCTCTGGAGAAGGCATCCTCATCCCCAGGCTGGGTGTCAGGGTACTGGTAGGTTTGTTTCACTGATACCAGATCTTTCCTGCAGCAACATAAACAGGATAGGGGATGTCACGCTCATGGCTCGCCAGGATATGTCTAACACTGAGTCCCTGGGACATGATCTGGATACAGCCAGGCTGGTGGCTTTGCCTGGGACAATCTCCACTCCATCCACCCACACTGCCTGCACTGCTCCGGCTGCCTCAGGGCAAAGCCACCTCCACCATGTCCTGCCCATCTCTACAGGGCTGTGAGGCAGGAGGGCAGGGTGAGGGGCTGGCTTGGCAATAAGGGGAGCTGGCTCACCTGTAGATGAAGGCATACTGCTCCTTGTAGCTCTTCCTTCCCAGCCTCTCACTGACCACGTAGCTGTATTCCTCCTTCGGCCCCTTCAGGTGACTGCAAGGAAAGTGATGTTCCTGAGCTTTTTTCTGCATTCGCAAGGCCTTGAGGAGGAGATAATTTTGCCTATGCCCAAAGGTAGGGGGCATTGCCTGCCTGACCTCAGAGGTGGGTGGTAGAGACTAAAAACTTTCTCAGGGTGGTTGCTGGCTCTTTCACCCTGCATCCTCCCTGCTAATTGCAGCCTCTGTCTTACTTCCTCTGGGCTGTCAGTCCAGGCAGGCAATCCCTGAGATACAGCAACTCCCAGCCCTGCAGAGAGGCAGCTGCTCTGCCCACAGCCCAGGGATAACCAGGCAAGAGCCTCTCCCTCCCTTCCGTTTTAATTTGATAATTAATTTTGAGCAAATTTAATCTAACTTTGTTATTTTGATTTTAAAATACATGTCCTACAGTGGTCTGGAGCTGGCTTTGCTCCTGGCCTCCAGCAAGGCTGTCGAGCCTGGTCCTTCCTCAACAGCTGGGGCAGAGCCCAGACCCTGAGCTTTTGCCCTGGTGAGGCAGCACCGAGCAGAGCACGGGCTCTTGCCAAGCATCGTCCCTGATATTTGCCTGCTTGCCCCTGGCCACCCTACCTGGTGAGCTTCTCCAGGAGGAGAGGACAAACTCGATTCTTGTTCTCCTTTATTTCCATCAGCAACATGATGTCACAGCGAGAAATGATCTGCAAGGGGAAGGAGCAGAAGCAAGTTGGCATGTGGTGGGTTTTGGAGGACTGGAAGGAAGTTTTAAAGAAGTGGTTACTGGAGCAGGGGAAGTCCTTTGTGGAACAAGAGGTTCCCAGCCTGGGGTCATGGGAGGAGGGCAGCAGCTGGTGTGAAGACCTTCTGCTTTCAGAGCTACCTCACACCCGCAAGAGAGCTGGAAGAGGGAACTCAGGAGCAGAGCAGTTTCGGGTTTGTTTAAAAACTTCCATGCCTGCCCCTTAGAAGGAAGTGTGGAGGGGAAGAGGCAGCAAGAGACGCTGCTGGGAGCCAGCTCTCCCCTTGTCACTGCTGGGGTGCTGCCCCTGGCCCCCCCAGCTCCAGTCAGTTGTGCTGTTCTGTCCTCCCTGCCCCTTGCCACAGAGGTTTCCCCTCTGCTTCAGACCAGTGCTGTGCACAAGCATCCTGAGTCCCTGGGTGGCTGGACTGATGTGGCAGGAGGCTTTTGGGGGCCATCGAGGAGAGCCTGTTTGTGTCTGTCACCAATCCACTGCAAGGGTTTCCATCCTTCTGCTGGTGTATGTACCCCTAAGCTCCTGTCTCTATGCCATGCCTTCCAAAGGCTGTGTGTGCTGTCAGCAAGGCCTGTCCCAGGCATCTGTTGCAGCCCCCTCAGTCTGCCCCAGCCCAGCTCAGTTCCCACAGCTGGCACTGGGATTCCCTAAGGGAAAGCTCTGCATGCTCAGGGATTTCCTTCTGCCTCCAATTTTGTTGCTCTTCGAACTTTGTGGGTGATGCTAGTGGGAAAAAAAGCAATCTCTTTGCCCTCTGACAGTATAGGAAGAATGATCCAGAAATGCAAACCCCAGCAAACCCTCCTTCTCCAGCTGCATGCAATGAAAGGATTAAAGCCCAAGTAAATGCTGGCATTCCCTGCTGCTGCCATGGGGCACAGGCAGCCATCAGGCTGCCAGGGCCCCTGCTCTCTTTGTCACCCTGGTAACTCAGAAGGGACTTGCAAATGCTGCAAGTCCAAAACATGGTTCTTTTAAAAAGCTGAATTGTCTTCAGTTGTTGCAGAGGAAGGCTGATGGTGAGAGTTTATTTACATAAATTAGCAATCAGGCTTCTTAGTTTTGTACCACACTTGTGATACTCCTGCTCTCCTGAGAATATGTCTAATTAGACAAGAATAGTTCAGAATAATTAGCACATAAGCAAGGTAAACAATGTTTCACAAAACAAAGCTCTGTGGATTCAAAATGAAAATAATTTTACTATGCACAGAGGTTTTTCTTTTTTACCAACTCCATTTCCAAAGGAAACAGAAAATGTTATTTCTGTTATATTCCCATGCAGGCTAAAACAACAGCAAACATCCTACTCAACCACAGGCTGACTTTTTACTTTAAGAGTATAAAATTATTTTGATTATTAACTCTTTTTTTAATACGTATACTTGAAATTCAACTGTGAAAACAAATCAAGTGCAAGATTACGTAGGTAAGAAATTCTTGGACAGCTCAATGTCTGTCCCCTCCAGGCAAAGGAACGTACCTTTACTACGGCATCGACGACTTCAGGTCTGGCTATTTTTGCTTCTCCAAAAGACCTCACATTGAAGGAGCAGATTTTCAGGCTCAGAGATGGGTTGAAATTGAAGAGTGAGAGCAAGATGAAGAGAAACATCTTCACTTTCATCCAAGACTTGGACAAAATGAGTCGCTGCGAGTGTGGTTTTATGTATGTGTGTGTGTTTGTGCATCCGTCCCTCCGCAGCCAGTCAGGAGGTCAAACTCAGTCAGCTGCGTCGATCACAAACACCAGCAGGAA